AGTCAAACAGTCTTACCATTATTTGCTTCCTTAAACCCTCAAGGCATGCAATTAGTGGTTGTTTCCTTGCCACTAATATCATAGAATTAAAGCATTCAGAAATGTTGTTCACCAAGATATCACACTGTGGAGTTGTGGAAAAATGAGACATCGACCATTCACTAGGATGTTTATTAGATAACCATGCAAAGGCATCTAATCCAACTCTTTAATATTCCTCATTGCTTGGGTGAAACTATTTATAGTTTTTGCCATAGTTGCTGCCCATAAACAAATTTTTATTGCTCTACCTTGGAACCCAACAAGCTTTATGTTGCCGTGCAAGTGTCGCACACAAAATATGTGATTTGCTAAAGGGAAGACAGTCTCAAATTCAAGTATTAATCCTTTCTGCTTGTTAGAAATAAAGGTCACATTATGCACATCTGAAATCTCCAAGTCCTTTTTAACATGTTCTAAAGACCAAATCCATGATTGTTTTGTTTCCCCTTCAACAATTGCATAGGCCAAAGGAAGTATTTCAACATTTGCATCAATCCTAACTGCTGTGAGTAATTGACCTCCAATTTTTGCCTTTACAAACAACCATCTACCCCTATAATAGGTCTGTAGTATTTGTAACCTTGCTTACAACCCTCCCAACACATGTACATACATTCTCAACAATCTCTTTTGTCCTACAATTTCTTCCAAATTACTAAGTTTTACGATACAAGTAGACTTAGGATTTGTTTTCTCAATTTCAAGACAATAACTTCACAATTTTTTAATTTGATCTTCTTATTCTTCTTTAAAATCACCCTAGCAAGTGACATGGCCTTATAGCATTGCCTAGTTGTTAGGTTGTATTTGTTATTAGTTTTAACTTTCTTTTGAAACTCTTTAAGTGTCCAAGTGCTATAACTTAGAGGCAGTGATCAACTTGTTTTCATATTCCCATCCACAACCTTCATATTTATCATTGTAACTTAAAACTCTCCAATTAAAACTATTTTGAAGTTTCCTACAATTGATTTTCCACAGGAAACCTTCACCTTTATAACTTATTATAACTCTAAGCTTGTCATTCTTTAAAAATTTTAAATATTTTCCATTGTTGATAGTATAATTTTCTATAGCTTGCTTAAACTATTCCTTGATAACAAATGTTAACCATTTGCAGAATATAGGTTTGTCATTTCAGTTGGTATAAAAATGGGCCATTTGCTCTCTTTTTTCTCACCATCACTCACAGGGTTCTCATCTGATAAATTAACTTCATCATCACATCCAATAGTAGCATGCAACCCAATCTATTCACAAACTACTACTAATCCCATACCTCCATACTCAATTGTTGCATCAACATATTTTTCAAACTCCATATCATCTCTCATCCATTCATTCATCTCATAATCAGAATCAATAAAGTCTTCCAAAAATTCTTCATCATCCTTATCACTTTCATCTTCTTCATCATCTCTAGAATCTTTGTCAGTTTCTTCTTCATAACCTACAACCCAAATTTCTAACTCCCTAGGATTAGCTTCTAAACAATAGTTATCCAAAGACCATGTTTTAGAATCAGAAACCAACTCAGTAAACTCACTCCCAATTTTTAGAAATAATTTCACCTGTAGATTGCAATAACCAAACTCTTCTACTTTTTCCCTTAATGTAATCAACCGAAACTCATCGACAATCATGTAGTCCCACCAATATGTCATTCCTCGTATGTATTCTGATTTAACTTTTCCTCCATGTCTAATCTTAAGTGTGAATAAATTACTTTCATGCCCTCCATCTGTTTGAGCGCGCGCGCACACACACACAATATATATATATATATATATATATATATATATATATATATATATATATATATATATATATATATATATATATATATAACATTAGGACATCAATATATAGAGAGAGTACTGTGCGGACAAATAATAAGCACACGACAAAGTAGTATCATGCACACAGTTTAATACACAATGGCACACTAGCATACATGTAAATATCAGGTTTCGAACCCAAGCTCTATTAATTAACAAACCTATGCACACGACATACAACTTATGGCACACGACTACATCTGGCCATGCAGACGACATACAGACTAATGGCACACGACTACATCTGTCCTCACAGTCCTTTATAATATAGTGGTCCTCATTTGAATACATAATCAGGACCACTATATTATAGAGGACTGTGAGGACAGGTGTAGTCGTGTGCCATTAGTCTGTATGTCGTGTGCATGGCCAGATTATAATACTTTAGGGAAACATGTGGTCCCTTCAAAAATACTATATGGAATCAATGTCATAACTTTGGGAAATAATGTTGGCAGAACGCAATAATAATCCAACGAAAAATGATTATTATTTTATGGAAAAAAACTAGAAAAATATGGGAAGGACGAATGGATAATTCGGGTGGGTGGTTAGCACGAGTCGAGCAAATCACTATTTCCTTAAAACCTTATTTATCGTCTCCCAAAGGTGCTAGGAGCATTACGACCTAGGTTTCCCAAGATAAAACACACTACGGTTCTAAAGTTATGAGCACTCAAACTTAGAAGCCAAACGAACAAGAGCTTGGGATGAACACAATAGGCAAGAAAAGAGTAGAGACAGAGATTTTGAGAGCTAAAAACGTTGGTAATCAAGTTGTTAAAATTCTGCTGCTCTACAACAACTTATATAGGGGTTGAGGAGTTGAATAGCATTAAACATGGCATTTAAAACTGATATAAATTCAGCTTTGTAACTCCTGAAACAACAGGCTAGTACTTGAGATTTAAATTCGAAATTCAAAATTGGAATTAATTTCGTAACTGATGAATTAAAACTCAGAACGGTCGCTGCCAGAAGCATTGAATAGTCTTGAGCCGACTGAACCATTGCCATGGTTCTGCCTTGGCCAAATCTAGTGGCTTCTTTTCCGGACGACATTCGTGCCCGCATACATGAGTCAAGCCTTTTCAGAATAATTTTGGGAGTTAATTTGCACCCCCCACCCCCCCCCCCCCCCTCGCTGACACAACCCGCTTTTTAGTTTGTGGTTCTTGATTAAGCGTAGTCAAAAGAATGAAGTTGTACGATTGGGATTGATATGGGATAGATGATAAAACGGGGAGTTAGAATCACCCAGAGTGTCGTTCACTTGACGAATGACAACTTGGAAGTTGAGCTATGGGTAAGGTGAGGTTGTTGAAACACTTAGTGACTCGATTCAAGATGGGATGTTTGACGTTGGTAGACTGCCTAGGAACTTAGAACTAAGAGAGTAGATTGAGAACATGGAATTACTTAGAGAGAGAAAGATGGATAGGATTGGGTTTCGATTGTATTGTGTGATCGGTCATTCTTGAAATGGGAGGTTTACGGCGATTTGATTGTGCGCTACTAGTCAAGAGCAGTGGATTGCGATTGGGTAGCCAATTCGGTCTATACGCCGCTCGTAGGAATTCTCATTCTCTATGGGGCATTTAAGCAAACACTTTGCCCTCACTTCTTTCCGGGTCTTGCCCTCTCGGATCGAAGACGGTGAAATGAAGAGGATAAGAGGCTACCTAGGTCTAGCAATCTCTTGCCTAGATCTAAGATTCCAACATCATCCATGGAGTTGAGTTCCACTCCAAGAATGCTACAAAGATCATCCTCAACAACAGGACGTCCATAGTCAACAATCAATCAAATACCACTGATGGGGTGAGGACCCCGGCCCAAGAAGATGGGCCCAAGAGATAAGTCCAAGATAGGAGATATGGGTCAGTAGCGAAAGAAGCCCAGTGGAGGCTTGGGCCGAGTCCAGGAGTCGGCCTAAGCCCAAGCCTGGGGAGAGACCCGGCCCCGAGCCGTTAGGAAGCATTCAAAGATCCTCATTTAAGAGGACTCGGCCCAGAGAGCCGTTGAAGAATGTCCCGCGTAGCATTTAAGTCGGTCCAGGAGCCGTTGGAGGTATTCAAAGCGGGCGTCTCGTAAGACTCGGCCAAGCAGGATGTTTAAAAGTCCATAGAGCCGTTGGCCGACCCGGTAAACGGCACCCAACGGCTTTATAATTGTAATTAGCCTTAAAAGCGGCAATTAATATCCTTTAAGTTGGCTAGAGGGGCGCCTACTATATAAAGGCCCCTCCACCCTTGTAATCGGGGCGAGTCCATGCCCAGTGAAGAAGAGACACACACTCTAGCAATTATTTCGACTACTCTTCCTTTGCTAAAAGATTTGTGAAAGGTGAATCCACCAACCAAGGTTGTGTTGGACCTCCCTGGGCCCGAAAACCCAAAAACCAACACTGGCGCCGTCTGTGGGGATCGATACAAAGAGCTACGTGACTCTCTGAGTGGGGCGAGTCCCGAAGTCGACCGAAAAAGCGTCACAAGCATGTCAGAATGACGAGACCAAACGAATAACCGCGATAATGGAGCAGAAGCAGATCTGAGAGATCAGTTAAACCAATGAAACGCCCAAAGTCAGGAAAATGAGACGGCACCGGTAAATCGGCAGCCACCTATGATACCTCTCACCCCGGAGCAACTCCACGCAATCGGGCGAGCCTTCGCTGATGCAAGTCGAGGAGCGAGGGAGCAGTCGGTCTCTCGACCGATGCCTCGTCATCAGCAACCTTCCTAGAGGACGGAAGACAGACAAGAGAATCAGCGGGCGGAAAGTCAACCGGTACGATCGGTTCACTCGAGGCTGGGTCCGAACGCCAGACGGCAATCCGCACGAGAACGACTAGGGGAAAGGGAGCCCAGCCGCGCACCAGCAAGCCCCCGAGATCAAGAGGCCGGTCGCGAAAGAACCCGCACCAGGAGAACCAGGACTCGGGCACGACGGACCGAGCGTCTCACGCGCAATGATGACCGACCAGCTGAATCGGAAGTCGGCGAGAGTACCGAATCCACAGGAAATCATACTCGCAATAGAGGCGATGTGGCCCAATTGGCCCGAGAGGTACGAAATCTGAAGGAACAAGTGGGGGGAAGAACTAAATCCCCGGGGCAAATGTTTCTCATTGCTTTGCCGTTCTCCTCCGAGATCATGTCTTATAAAGTGCCCGGCGACTTCAAATTCCTAGAACAAGCCACCTTTGACGGGTCCGGAGACCCACGCGAGCATCTGCTCAGTTATCAGGCCAAGATGCAAGTCTTAGGAGTCCGAGACCCGTTAATGTGTCGCGCCTTCTTACCCACGCTAAAAGGCTCGGCACAAGGGTGGTTAGTGGCGCTGCCTCCGGGATCGATTCACAATTTCGAGGAGCTGGCTGATCGCTTCATGAGCCATTATGCGGCCAACATCAAACCACAGAAGGATTTGACTCATCTGGGAGACGTCCACCAAGAGGAAGGTGAGGCCCTGAAAACCTACTTGGTTCGATGGCAAAAAGAGATCCAGTCTATCGAGGAAGTCGAAGACCAGACTGCACTCACTTTCTTCATCAAGTCCTTGCGATCCGGGCAATTATACCGGGATCTGCGAGATAATCGCCCGTCCACTTACGCGGAAGCCATACACATGGCTAATAAGAGGGCTAACACGGAGCAGGCTATGAAGCATAAACGACAGCGTGAAGTCGGAGGATCCGCCGGTGGAAAGAGGACCCGTGCGGAGGCCAAGGAAAGGCGCCCGGCGACCCGAAGTTCGGCGTCCCTATGACAAGCCTATTGTTCATCCCTATAGGACTATTCCTCAACACCCGGTACACGAGGTATAAGCGGTCGCTCCACCTCCGCCCCCGCCGACTGACGATCGCGTAACGAACGAAAAGACAGGTAAAAACTCTAAATACTGCCGTTATCATAAATCTTACACTCATAGCACGGAAGAGTGCTTTTACTTGAAAAAGATCATGGAAGGAATCATCCAACAAGGGACCCCGCCTCCTAATCAGTGGAGGCGGAGGTCGGCGGCGCGGGAAGACACTGACCCCGCAGTCGCCGCTGAGAGCAGTCGCGGCCAGCAGCCCGCGACCGAGGAAGAGGAGGCCCAGTGGCGTCAAAAGCCAGTTATTAACATGATAATCGGCGGACCAGAAGGGGGCGACTCGGCGAACACCAGAAAGGCCTGGGCTTGACAGTTGTATGTCAGTACAGTATACAGGCGCGAAGAAGGTTCGAAGAAAGTGTGCCGGGAGCCCATCACGTTCACTGACAAAGACCTACCCACGGGGGAGACACCGCATCGAGACGCCCTGGTCATAGCGATGGACGTAAATGGGGTAGTCGTTCGACGGATCCTGGTCGACACCGGGAGCAGTGTCAACGTGCTATACCTCGAGACTTTCACAAAAATGGGATTAACCCGAGAACAGCTGAGCCCGGTCAAGACGCCACTTGCCGGTTTCACCGAAGACTCGGTAGAGGGATTCATCACCTTACCGATGGAAGTTGGCAGTTATCCCGACGTGCAGAAGCTCAGCATGAAGTTCATTGTGGTGGACCTAGTCTGCTCACACAATGCCATACTCGGCCGACCAGGCCTGGAGGATCTAGGAGCACTAATTTCCATTGAGCACCTCTGCTTGAAATTCCGCACACCGAACGGGATAAGAACGGTACGTTGCGATAGGAGAGTCGCCCGCGAATGCTATCTACAGGCCTGTAGGGGGATGGGCAAGCGTGAAATGCAAGTCCATGAGATCTCGGTAAAACCCCCAAAGAAAGCAATGATACCCCGCCCGGAGCCGGCCGTGGAATTGGAAGAGGTTGAGATCGACCCTGAAAAGCCAGACAGGCGGGTCAGGATTGGGGTCGGTCTCCCTGAGGAAATACGAGAGGAAGTTATCAGAGTACTCCGAGAGCACCGACTAGTCTTTGCCTGGGGTCCGGAGGATATGCCAGGCGTCGACCGATACATCATCGCCCACCGACTCGCCGTGGATCCGGACCATCGGCCGGTCATACAGAAAAAGCGGTATCTCGCCAACGACAGGAGGGAGTTCGTAAAGAAAGAGGTGAGCACGCTGCTGGCCGCGGGTCACATCCGGGAGGTTAAATATCCGGAGTGGTTGGCAAACTTAGTCCTCGTACCGAAGCCCCCAGCTTGGCGAATGTGCGTGGATTATACTGATCTTAACAAGGCCTGCCCAAAGGATCCGTTCCCCTTGCCACGGATCGATCAGCTGGTCGACGAGACCGCAGGGTCGGCTCTTCTAAGCTTCATGGACGCCTTTAGAGGGTATCATCAGATCTTCATGCACCCGGCCGACGAGGAGAAAACCGCGTTCCTAATACTGGATGGGGTATATTGTTACCGAGTTATGCCCTTTGGACTCAAGAACGCTGGGGCCACTTACACTCGGATGGTAGCCCGACTATTCCAAGACCTGCTGGGGAAGTCCATGGCGGCCTACGTAGACGACATGCTAGTCAAAAGCCGAGAAGAGATCGAGCACGCGGAAGATTTGGCCGACTGCTTCCGGGTGATGCTAAGGTATAATCTCCGACTAAACCCAAAGAAATGTGCCTTCGCGGTGCAAGGTGGAAAATTCTTAGGATACATGGTGACAAAACGAGGCATCGAACCCAACCCTGAAAAGGTTCAGGCCATCATTGACATGCAGCCTCCCAGCACCGTCAAAGATTTGCAACGGTTAACTGGTCGACTGGCTGCCCTTAGTCGCTTCTTGAGCAAGGCGGCGGACAAAACCATACCATTCTTTGAGGCCATGAAGAAGAAGGAAGGCTTTATATGGACGACCGAGTGCCAACAATCGTTCGAAGAACTGAAGCAGTATCTTTTTACACCTCCGGTGTTGTCCACCCCTCAGGAGGGCGAGCCCTTATTCTTATACCTAGCCGCCTCCCCCAAGGCGGTAAGCTCAGTACTGGTTCGGGAAGAAGAACGTACCCAGCACCCGGTGTATTACGTAAGCCGCTCCATAAAGGCCGCCGAGACACGGTACACAGCCTTGGAAAAAATTGTTTATGCACTAGTAATCACCGTGCGCAAGTTGGCGCCCTATTTCCAGGCCCATACCGTCCGAGTCCTAACCGATCAACCTCTGGGGAGCGTATTGCGGAACCCTACATCGTCAGGTCGACTGGTAAAATGGGCCATGGAACTACCCAGTACGGGATCGAGTATCAACCACGACCGTCCATAAAAGGGCAAGCCTTGGCCGACTTCTTGGTCGAATGCACAGTAGGGGAAGGCGAGAAAGAGAGCACCAAGGAAGATAGCCCAAGCGAATGGTGGGAGCTACACGCGGATGGAAGGGCAAGCCGACAACACTGCGGAGGAGGAGTCATGTTAATTGATAAGCTTAATTTCTAGGCATTATTTAGAGTAATTTTAGTTAGTGTTTTTGCATAATTAAATTAAGTTTTAGGGTTAATTTTGTTATAGATATTATATTTAGTTATATGTTATTAGTTTAGATTGGTTTTAATAAATATTAGGCTAATGTTACATTTTTATTAATATTAATAAGAGTTTTATTTTATCTATAGTATTAAATTTACTTAGTAGTTTTATATCTTCAATTTTTAAATAGTTCTTTATTAATTAAGTGTTATTAAGTAGTGATTAGGTTATGGTTGTTAGGCTTTTAATTAATTTTGGCTTTGTTTCTTTTACAGATTAGCGCAGCAGAGAGAGGAAAAAGAAAAAGGGTAATTAAATTGGGATTTGCGCAGCATAAAAGAAAGATAGAGATAAGGTTTAGGGTTTTTTGTTTTCGGTTTTGGGCAGAGCACAATGCGAAACGGAGAGAACATAATATAAAAGCGAAGACGTGCGCAGCAGTAGAAAGGAGGAAGTTGGGGGGGGGGGGCAGCGGTTCGGCGAGGAAATTGCAGCAGGAGCGAAGAGATTCAAGACTCCATCGCAAGGAATTTTCGAGCTTTAATCGCGGCTATCTTCTTCTTAGGCTTGAATCATTTTCCTTCATCTCTATCTTTATTCTTGTTTAAATTTCCATAATACTATTTATTGAACAATTTATGCATATAATTATGATTATTGGCTAGAACTTTAATTAGGGATTTGGATTAGCCTAGATTAGATTAATTGACTATTTTTCATGTGTTGATTCTCATAATTTCAATTAAATAATTGAACTTGATTATATTTATTTTATGTATTTTAATTGTGGATTGTGTGACTGGCCATTGCATATTTCTAATATTAGGGTTCATAAGAAGAACTGACAGGTGAATTATAAACCTAGAACTCGTAAGATAAACACAATTGATCTAAACTAGACATAGCTTTAGGTATTTGTGGTGATATTTGATTGTAGCTTAATGGGTTCAATTAATGTTGGTGAGATATCGACGGATGATCACAGTTAATTAGATACAACCTAGTAGCTCGACGGAGTATTAAGATATATTTGAAGCAATCATCACTATAATAATAAGAATCAATACTTAGGAGAGTTAGTCAATTGTCTAATAGGTGAACCCCAAATCCCTAATCTTTTCTCAATTGGATTTTCCCTCTGCTTAAAATTCAAAAATATTCTTTTAAATCACATTAATTCTATTTATTTGCGAATTTCCTTATCAACAATTTGATGATTTAAGATAACAGTTAATAGTGTTCTTCGTGGGATCGACCCTGGAATACTCCAGGAATTTATACTGTGATTGACTCTGTGCGCTTGCAGATTATAGCAATCAAGTTTTTGGCGCCGTTGCCAGGGAACACTTTATTAAGCTGTTTTCTTTAAGTTTTTATTTTCTGATTTATTTAGGTTGTTAGGTTCGTTATTATTTTATTCTTATTTTTTTTACTAAGTTTTTGTTTTTCCTATTTTTATTTTATTCTGTTTATGAACTTAAGGCGTTCACTAAGGCATAAAAACGCGGAATTATTTCCTATTGATCTTGAAATTGAGCGTACTTGCAGAAAAAACAGGGTACGAAGGCGGCTTGAAATGGCTGAAAATAATAGAGTGGGTCAACTGGATGACCCCGTACCACCAATAATTCCACCTCCTCAAAATCAAGCAGCTCAACCACGTCTTCGAGACATCCAAAGACCGGTAATAGCTGTTAATCCTTCTTGCATTCAATTATCTGATGCAGCTAGAAATTATGAACTCAAGACTTTCCATCTGAATATGTTCCCTACGTTTAACGGTTTGGGAAGTGAATATGCTTTGGGTTTCATGCGAGAGCTCTATAGTACGGTACAAACTTTACCTTTAAATAATTTGTCTGAAGAAGAGCTTAGAATGAAATGTTTTCCATATTGCATGAGGGGCGATGCTAGGCAGTGGTTGTTAAATTTACCAGAGGGTTCTTTAAGAGTTTGGGATGATGTTTACAATGCTTTCATGTTTAAATATTATTCATCTCAAAAGACAATGGACTATAGGAGTAGGATATGCACTTTCACTCAAAGAGAGGGTGAATTATTTCATGAAGCATGGGATCGTTTTAAATTGCTTTTGACACAATGTCCACACCATCAATTCCCATTGTTATTGTTGACACAATTCTTTTATGATGGTTTAACTCCTAATTGTCAGTCTCTTGTAGATACTGCTGCAGGTGGATACACAGGTGATAAAAATAGTGATGAATTAGAAGCTATCTATGAGAGCTTAGCTACTAATTCTCGACAAAAGGCAGTGAGAGGTCGAAGGACTGCTGTGCATGAAATTAGCACACAATCTGAGTTGACAACACAAGTGGCTGAATTGACTA